TTATTTTACGTGTATGAGTGTTTTGCCTGCATGTATATAGGAGCACCCATGTGTGAGGTGCCTGTGGAGGCCAAAAGAGGGGGTCATGTCCCTGGAACTGGAGTTACTGACAATTGTTAGCCACCATATGGGTGCTGGGAATCGAACCCAGATCCTCTGCAAGAGTAGCAGTGCTCTTAACCACTGAGCCATCTCTCTAGCCCTTACAGATTCTTGTTTAACTTTCTGCCATTTCTACTTCCCAAGGTCCAGTCATCCTTTTTTTCTGTACTTGGGTTGCTGAACATTAAGAAAAATCTTAAGACCATTAGCATTTTAGAGAGAATATCTCCTTTAATGTGGGCCTCACACCATCCCTAGGGGAATGTTAAGTTACTTTATAGGAAATAGGAGTGAAAGCTATATCAATTCACACAAAGACACTTGGCTTATAGGGAGGTTTGGGGGTTTTGAAACTCAGGTCTGGAGCGTGCTAGTTCACATGTGTAATCCTAGCACTTGAAAGGCTGAGGCAGAAGAATCATAATTTGAGGCTAGTTGGACTACATAAGTTCCATGTAAGCCTGAGATTCAACAAGAACTCATCTTTAAAAAGATAAATATCCAGGTTTGTGTGGCACCAAAGCCTGTAGTCTACATGCATTCCTTTGACCCTGTTCATAACTATACCCACATTGTTTTCATTTGTTTCTTACTAACACATTCAGATTTTTTTCTATTCTCCCTTAAACATTGAACTCAACCTCTAACCTGTAGTAGGTATTTTAACCTTCTACTTTAAGGAGACAGTTGAGGGCATCTAATGTCCCTTTCAGCTTTGTTTTCTTCATATTTACTTATTTCTCTATTTCTTCATTGCGAATCCAGAACATTGCTCTTTGTTCCTGATTTCCTTCTCCCAGGCCTGCCTTTGTGATTTACTCCTATTCTTCCTCCTTTTATACTGATTCTTTCCCGCTTTAAAACGGGCAAAAGCAAATAAAAAACATTGGAAAATATCCATTAGTTGTGCCACCATGGTGGTAATTGGTGATCTTAGCAAGAGCCATTTAAGGGGAGTAGTAAGTATAGGTTCCAGGAGACAGACTTTGAAGAGTGGCCAACAGATACGGTACAGACTTCTTTAAAGAAAGCTTACAGTGAAAGATGTTAGAGGGCTATCTTGCTAAAGGACAGGGGTTTGTTTGTTAAGAGCTAGGTTAGATCTTCAAATGCCTTTATATATAGACTATAAGTCAAGCTGAAATAGTCCCTTTCAAACCTTTCTTGATTGGCTCAGCATCAACTCTGATTTTCCCTAGCAATTCATATGTGTCTCATGGCATTTAACATGTTCTTTTGAATGAGATGATGAATCTATAATTTTTATTACAAACGTTTGTTTGACAGGTTTAATAGAAATTTTTGTGCATGTACATGGTAAGATACGTGTGTGTGACTGTGTGTGTTGGGTGTCTTGCTGTATCACTCTCAGTCTTATTCCCTTGAGACAGGGTCTGAACACGTTGCTAAGCTGACAGCCAGCAAGTCCCAGTAGCCCCCCATCTGCTCTCCAAGCTGGGATTACAAGCATGCACACAGCTATACCCAGCTTTCTACATGGGTGCTGAAGATTCAAACTTGGGTGCTCATGATGGCACAGCAAGCACTTTTACCCAGTGAGCCATCCCCTCAGCCCTAACATGAAAATGTCTCTGTGGACTGGGATGAGGATTTCTCTGCTGGACAGCTGTTATTTATGCTTGTTCCAAGGCTTCTAATGTAACGATGCTGTTTCCTTGTGTTACCACCATTTATTTCACTCTTGATCTGTTGCCAAGTCCTTCCTGTCTCCACACATTTATCTGTCACGCTCTTCATAAGGGACCATGAGATTCCTTGGACATGTCTTCTACTATTACATTTCAGTGATGATTTCTTGTCTGTAATTTTTTTTTCAAATTGAAAGGATAAGCTTTGTCCATCAGTACTCACTGACCATGAGCTATGAGCTGTATTATCTAGGTTGATTCCTGGCTTTACAACTTACTGTATAACTCTGGACAAATCACTTCTCTCTGTAGTTTCAGATAAGTCTTTTAGGTAGGGATGATCATTATATGTGCCTTATTTTTATAAGGATACATGTTCTTAAAGCTCTTAGAACACAGATTTTTCTACTTTTGTAAGATCCTTAGAAATTTGAACTCATTTGTATTACTTAACATATTCAACATACTCTTTTCCTTCTTACATTAGCTATTGGGTGTAAGAATCCAATGGAAAAATCACTGGATCTATGCACGTTTTCTTTCCTACTTCGACCCCAGTGTAAGACCAAATGCCAGGCAACTATGTGGTGCTAAACTTTATTATCATCTGTGGGCAGCGAGATGGCTCAGTGGGTAAAGGCACTTGCTGTACGCCCTGCTCAGCTTTAACTGTCAATTTGACGCAACCTAGGATCAGCTGGGAAGAGAGTTTTAGATCAGGTTGGCCTATGGCATGTCTGAGATTATCTTTATTCTTTTGATGTAGGAAGACCCAGCCTATTGTGGGCAGCCTCATCCCCTGGTTTGGGACCCTGGACTATATAAGAGCAGAGAGGGCTCCTGGCTGACTAGAAGCAAACAAGGATCATTCATTTATTCTCTCTGCTCTCGACCGGATGTAGTCCTTTAAATTCCTGCCTTCTTCTTAGTGATGGGCTGTAACCTGGAATGGAAAGCCAAATAAACTCTTCCCTAAGTTGCTTTTCTGTCAGGATATTTTATCACAGCAACAGAATATCCTACAAACCTTGGGACTAGAGTTCAGTCCCCAGAGCCCACATAGAGGTGGAAGAAGAAAACTGACTCCACAGTTGTCCTATGACCCTCCCAAACATGCACCCTGGTACATGCACACTACCACCCCCACTCACAGAGACAATAATAATTTTAATAATAATAATAGCCAAGAAGACTGGGATGAGTGAGGGTGTGGGGTGGGAAGGGTGAGAACCAGAAGTGTGGAAAAGCAGCCTTCAAGAAGAGACTGCAGTAAATCTTGACAGATTGGTTAGGCCCAAAGGATTTTTTACTGCTCCAACAGTGTCACCTGTTTTCTTTGAACATCTAAGTCATCTAAGTGGCTATTGTGACTTGAATTTCAATGAGGAAAAGACAGCAGGAAAACTAGGAGACTTGAGATGCATGAGGGAAAGTCTTATATTAGCTAAGGGACAAAGGAAAAACAATAAAGGGAAAAAAAATCTCTTCAGGAAACTCCCTGCCCATTGGTTGTGTTTTGTAATTTTAGTCTTGGGGATTGCAGAGCTGCAGGTGAATCTGTAGGGCGGGACAGTAGTACTGACTTCATGTGTAACTTCTGATATGAGGAACTGAGGGATTTAACAGGAGGACCACCTAATCAACGCTGATTCCCATAAGTGAGCGAGGACTGACAGGAGCCATCCCTGCAGTGCCTCCTGTGTTTGGCATGGAACAGCATGGATCTAAGCAGTGATTACATTGTGATGCTGTGATTCATTATATAGGAAAATATTCCAGACTGACATTTTGAACTGGCAGCCTTAAAATGTCACAACTCACATAAATTCTGATTTCATTTGTACATTTAGCTTGACTTTTTAGTTGAAAGGGGTTTTGGTCTTTTGTTGTTTTGTTTTGCGGCCTCACAGCCCTTAGTGTACCCGTTTGGATCTGTAAATGAGATTTATGCTCGAGGCCTTGACTTCCTGTTGTGTGCACCCTCGTGTTTCTTTTCGTTTCACCTGTTTGTACACTGTTTAAAAGGTACTTTTACTGTTTTTGTTTTTTGACCACTGAGGAGGGAACTCAATAGTAGAGTACTTGCCTAACATACAAGAGGCTGTCCTGGGTTCAATCTCAAAAAAAAGTTTTTTTTAAGAAAGCATATTTTCACTCATTTCAGAATTTTTTTATCAATTTTTCCTCATCTGGTGGACTCATTGGCTGTTACATTTGTTTCTCTTTGTATTTACTTATTTTGTTTTGTTTTGTTTTGTTTTTGAGACAGGGTCTCCCTGTAGCCCCAGCTGACCTAGAACTCACTATGTAGACCAGGCTGGCCCTTGATCTCATAGGGATCCATCTGCCTCTACCTCCTGAGTGTGGGATTAAAAGCATGTACTACCATGCCTGGCTTTGTTTGTTTGCTCATTTTTGAGATAGAGTCTCATGGCCCAGGCTAGCCTTCAACTTATATGTAGTCAAGAATAACCTTAAACTTCTGAACCTCTTGCATATACTTCCTCAGTACTGGGATGCAGGCATTCACCAACCATATCTGGTGCTGGGGTTTGAACCCAGGGCTTTAAGCGTGCTAGTCAAGCACTGTACCAATTAAGCCTCCCGAGCCCTGTATTTGCCTTTTTAGGAGCTCTTTCCTCCCTTTACAATATTCATAATGGTCAAATTTGATTTCTGATAATGCATAGTCAAATTGTTCCTAGAGTTAAATTTAACTCATTGATCAACATAGTTAACATTCATACTATAACATAATTGCTTTCTCAGAAACAAAGGCTTAAATTCTGACTGTGTAAGAATTATAAACATAGTCTCTGCCCTCAAGGAGCTTGTGGCTTCCTTAAGAAACCAAACTTAAATATGTGAAAAGTAGAACATTTAGATAATAGTTCTGGCAATAGGAGATGAATATTGAATGATAACTATACCAGCTGTACAGATAATGATGATTCTGGAATTTCGAAAAGATAGTGATTTGCTTTTGCCCAGATTAGTCAAGGAAACTTTATTGGGTACATGGCATTTGAAGTTAGTTCTGAAAACGAGTAGATTTTAGGTAAGAAATAAATGAATCCAGATTTTTGTGCATGTGTTTTATATTACTTTGTCTTTTTAATTTTTTCTTAAAGAAGAAAACATCTTCATATGAATTATTCTTTTAATTCTTTGTGGTGCAGTTATAAAGAACACTTGAAAATGTTGAACATGTCTGTTGCCTTCAGTCTTCTCTTTCTGTTTTTGTTGCAGGCCTCCTGATTTTCAGCTGCTAAAGGAAGGACAAAGGTACAGTTGTGCCTGTATCACTTACCTTCTGTGCACATGCCCACTCATTGAAACAGTAAGAGTGAACCAGGTGGTAGGAGCTCTCAGACTTCCTGTGCCGATGCTCTATAAGTGTTCTAGCCACACAAAGAAATGTATGACATGTTCAGCATTTTCTTTTGTGATGGAAAGATGATGTGTTTGATTTGTCTGATTTATTGTACAGCTGTCCTACTGAGGAAGTCTTAATTGAACCTGTTGAAAAATGGCACAAACATAGCCTCCATCGTCAGATACTGTGTGCTTTTGTCAGCTAGATTATGCCCATTACATTTTCTAAAAGGGTTTTATGGTCTCATTTAACAGGATTTCAAACTATTGATGGTTAGTTATTTAATAATTTGAAAGAATGTCTAAAGCATTAAAATAAATTGCACGTTGTGATTTTCTTTTTTTCCTAAACCCTCCTCAGTGTTGTTTGCTCAATTATGGCCATCTATCAAAGTACATCCTTTTACCTGTCAGAATAAATATTCCTGGTTATTAATCACTGTCTTAGTCACAGGGTTCCCATCACAAATAAAAGATATTTGTTTATAGATGGATATCTTTATGCCTTTAACGTAGTATAAAAGCATAAATACCTTAAAATTCCAAAAGAAAGTAGGAAATATATGAAGCCCAGGACAGTTGTATTCTAATTTTTAAAATTATACCTTTTCTTTTTATCAAAGGCCAGTTGCCTGCTATAGGTTAGATCCTAACCAGAAAGCTGTGTGGTACTGTCTGTTCTGCATTCTCATCCTCAGCTGTGCTTCCAAGCCCTGTGTTTTTCTCACCTCTTTTCTTTCACACTTCCCATGTTTCTTGACTGAGAAACTTCTGAAAATTGAAAGACATGGAGGGACAACTGTCATCTTACCCTGTTCGCATTCTGTTGTCACTCTTGAACTTCCAGATTTAAATACCTTCCATTGAATGATTTGATTTGCCAATTTCATTTTCTGCTGTGCTTCTTGTATTTTTTATTCTACAGAATTTTCTTTATAATGGTCAACCAGAACTAGAAAATATTTACCCATTTTTTTAATCTTTCAAATATTAACAGAGTATTTAACTTTCTTGAGAACCTGGTAATGAACTTTTCAAAAGAAAATCTTTATTTTTTTTTGGTCTTTTTGAGACAGGGTCTTCCTGTAGCCCCAGCTGTCCTGGAACTGACTATGTAGACCAGGCTGGCTTTGAACTCACAGAGATCCGCCTGCCTCTGCCTCCCGAGGGATTAAAGGCGTGCGCCACCACGCCTGGCTAAGAAAATATTTTTTTAAAAAAGGAAAAGCAAAATAATTATGTAGGATAGTATTATTAAAGTTTTCTCTTTTATTGCTGTACTCCTTTAAGAATTATGAAATATGGGGCTGGAGAGATGCTCAGCAGTTAAGAACATTGACTATTCTTGCAGAAGATCCAGATTCAAATCCCAGCACCCACATGGCAGCTAACAACTGTCCATAGCTCCAATCCCAGGGGATCAACAGACTCTTCTGACCTCCACAGGCATTGCACGACACGGGTGCACTTAGCTACATGCAGGCAATACACGTATACACGTTAAAAAAATAATAAAACTTTAGGGGCTGGAGAGATGGCTCAGTGGTGAAGAACACTGATTGTTCTTGCAGAAGACCTGAGTTCGACTCCGAGCACCCACATGGCAGCTAACAACTGTCCGTAACTCCAGTCCCAGGGGATCCGACAGCCTGTTCTGACCTCCGCAGGCTTTGTGTGACACGGGTGCACTTACCTACATGCAGGCAATACATGCGTACACATAAAATAAAAATAATAAATTAAAAAAGTAAAAATAACATTTTTTTAAAAATTTGAAAAGAATTATGAAGTAGGAACAGACAAAGGAATAAGCTGGAAAGAGGACTATATCAAGTATGTATTAGATATGGAGAGAGCAAGCCTTCTGAAATTTACGTGTCAGAGACTATACATGAGGTTGTGTCTAGGAAATAGGAATTTTTGTCCTGGAAATTACAAAGTATATAAATACTATGGAATACATCATTTACTACAATTGTTTTATTTATCTTTCCCTGTACAGTGGCCGTTCAGGAGAAGAAGTACAGTTACGCAGTGAAGCCATTAAGACATCAGATATCGACGGCTCTGGTCCTTTTGAAGCACAGCGTGAATCTGCTTCTCCTAGCACTTGTAGTGATAGTACCAGCGATAATGAACAAGACTTTGTTTCCTCTATTCTACCAGGAAACAGACCAGATGCAGCGGGTACAAGACCACAGCTGCACAAAAAAAGCATAATGAAAAAGAAAGCTGGTCAAAAAACGAACTCCAAACACAAAGAGCAGGCAGTGGTAGATGTCACGGAGCAGTTAGGTAATTGTAGATTAGATAATCAGGAGAAAGCCACTGCTTGTGAACTTCCTTTAAAGAAAGTAAATACTCAGATTTCTTCACCTAGTCCTTTGTGTGAAAGATTAAAAGCTTCTGAAAATTCTGAAAATAAATACAATATGTCAGAAATCACTTTTGTAGGCATAAGTAAAAAAAGTGCTGAACATTTTAAGAGCAAATTTGCCAAATCTAACCAAGTTTCTAGGTCAGCCTCTAGCTCAGTGCAGGTGCATCCTGAAGTTGCAAAGGCAACCCTACTTAGAGCTCTAAAGGAGACTTTGAGTGAGTGGAAGACGGAAGAAACGTTGAAAGTTTTGTATGGCCAGAATTATACTTCCGTGTGCCTGAAACCCTCTTTTGCCTCTGTGGTTAGTGAGGAGCTTGATGAAGATGACATCATTTATGACCCAGGTAGTCATTTTCCTGCTTTGAGGGAATCTCAGAACAACCTAGATGAGTCTCTACCTTTCAGAGACTCAGATACAGCCATTAAACCACTGCCAAGTTATGAGAGCTTGAAAAAAGAAACTGAGACACTGAATCTGAGGATCAGGGAGTTTTATAGAGGACGATATGTTTTAAATGAAGAAACTACCAAATCACAAGACCCAGAAGAGGTATGTCTTCATGATGAGTTTTTCCAGGCTGCTTACCTTTGGAGAACTCAGTGAGGCAAATTTGGGAGCATACATTATGTTTATTTATGTTTATGTAGTAGAATAGGCTTATATGTGGAGAGTTAACTATTTCAACAGTTCATATTTGATAAGCATGCCCATTTGTTATAGGTGAGGCTAGGGAGATGGCTCAATAAGTGGATAAAATGCTTGCTGTGTAATCATGAGGGTCTGAATTCAGATCCCAGCTGTCCTGACACAGTGATGTGCATGGATGTCTGTTACCCCAGTGTTGAGTGAGGGGATGGGCAGATCCCAGGGGCTTGCTGATGAGCCAGCAGTCTAGAAGAAACAGTAAGTAAACTTCAGGGTCAATAAGGGACCCTGTCTCAGAATATAATATGGACAGCAGTAAAGGAAGATAGTCAGTGTTGACCTGTGACCTCCACAGCACACATGCGTATACATATACACATATTCAAATTCACATACACCACACACATAGACATGCACACACATAAATAAGTATGCACAAAAGACAAAATGTTATAGATGAAGATAATACCTTTAAGGGGATTTATTGGGAAATAAAGGATATAGAGGATGGAAAGTACGTTCAGATAGACCTGGATTTGAATGTCTGCTCTATTTACTAGCTTTATGAAAAGTTAGCTTTTTTGGTCTGTTCATCCATAGATAGGACTATTAATAGTTTCCATTGTTTAGTTGTTGAGAGTACAGGACATATAACTGATCCTCTGTAAAAAGTCATTATATGTTGTGCTGGATAGCTTTAGTGTCAACTTGACACACCTGGGTTGAGGGAGCCTCAATTGGGGAATCGCCTCTATTGGACTGGCCTGTGGCCATGTCTGAGGGGTATCTTCTTGACTGTTGAGTGATGTGGGAGGCCCCTGCCCACTGTGGGTGGTGCCACCCCTGGGCAGGTGGGCCTGTGTTGCATAAGAAAGCAGGCTGAGCAGGGGCCAGAGGAGCAAGCCAGTAAGCAGTGTTCCTCCATGGCCTGTGCTCCGGCTCCTGCCTCCAGGTTCCTGCCCTGAGTTCCTACCTTGGGCTCCCTGATGAACTGCGACCTGGGAGATGTAAGCTAAATAAACCCTTTCCTCCCCACGTTGATAGTGGTCAGAGTGTTTTGTCACAGCAATGAAGAAACAAACTAGGACATACGTAGAGGCTGAGTGTATGTTGCTGAGATTTAGCAAGGACCCTGTAATATTTCTGTTACCTATTTTTGGTTGAGATGTACTGTCTGGGAAATTGTTAATCTGTCATGAAAAAGAGTAGATAATAACTATTTTTACCACAAAACTTTAGCAAAGAGTTCTAAGCAGAAGATGTTAGGGGTGGGGAGGGACTGGTGAGAATGCATTGTATGCATGCATGACATCTGAAAGAAGTACTTTAAAAATGTTTTCACTTAAATATTTTTATTGAGTTTTTGTGCATTTAATATAGTAGATCTTAATCAAATTTAGACCCCCCCCATCTATGCCATCCATAGCTGCCCCCCATGAATGTCATGCATTCTGTCATAAGTCCTATCCAGTTAAGCATTTATACCCAGATGTCCCTCAGTGCAAGTTCATCCACTGAAGTCTAGTCAGCCTATCTAGAATCTAGAGTCACTCCCTTAAAGAAGACCTACTCTCCCTCACCCAGCAGTAATCAGTTGCCAATAGTTCTTCAGCTAGGGTTGGAACCTGTTGCCCATTTCCCTCATTCTATGCTGGGTTTTTTGTTTTATTGAGTCAGCATGGGCTGTCACCATTGTTGCAAGTTCATATGAGCAAGTACCCAATGGCCTGAACACCTCTTTTTCTTATGTTCATGCACCAGCCCTGGCTTTTACAATCTTTCCATCTCTCATCCTTGATGGTCCCTGAGCCGTGGGTAGGTGAGGTTTAATACAGGCGTCCTATCCAGGGACACGCACTGCAGTCTCTTGTTCACTAAAACTTAACCAGTTGTGGCCTTCTGTGTGATACAGTTTGTTGTATGAGGATGCTTCACTGGTGATCTTCCATCTTCATTTTGGCTTGGGTTTTCTTTAATGGCTCTATCTCTTTTGCGAATTCACTTTTCAAATCCTGAATTGTTTTTATTATTTCATTCAGCCGCATATTTGTATTTTCTTGAGCTTCCATCACAAGTTTATGCCTTTCCTCTTTGAGTTATTTGAGTTTTTTTGTCTCTGTGTTAAATTCTCTGACCATGTTTGATCTTTTAAATTCTGCATTGTGGGGTTCCTTGGGGTGATTCTCATTGTAGCACACTTCTAGGATTGGTGGGTTTTGTTGGGGACATATTCTCTTGGCTTTTCATATATTTGTGTTTTTGCGTTACCATTTGGCCATATGGATGCCTTTGTTGGTTGCATGTCCAGTAGGAAATTCTATTCTGCCTTTGTTTAGTTGAGGTTTGGTTCCATTTCTATTGTTTAATGTAGCTTGGTTACTTTTTTGCTCAGGTATGAAAAGTTAGTTGGTGTGTGCTTCAGGTTCTCCTAGGGTAGTAGGTGGGTCTCTGGTAGGCAGATCAGGAGGGTAGCCAAGAACCAGACAGGGGTGGGAACAGCCTGTGGAGGGCCTAACAAAGGAAGCTAGAGAATTGACCTAGTCTGAGTGCAAGGGGTCAGGACGCAGTAGGTAGGTCTGGACTAAGAGGGTAGTCCAGAGGTCTGGGGCCGAAAGAGCAGGAACAGGCCTGGACCCAAGGCTAGAAGAGGGACAGAGTTTGGAGAGAGAATGGAACTCAGGCTGCCCAGCAATCAAGGTGCAGTGGGTGGGGATCTGACTTACCAAGTTGGTAGGCTTGTCTGTGGCAGGCAAATCAGGAGGCCAGGGGCAAGGTGAGGGTGGGGACAGCCTGTGGAGGGTCTAACAAACTTAAGTTGGAGAATTGAGTTGGTCTGAGTACCTTTTAAAATTTTTTAAAAGAGTTCCAGTCAAATATGACTGTAAGCTTAGAAATGGAGTTTTGGAGAAAGTAGGAGTACAAGTACAGTTCTAGGAATTTTTATATCATTGTAGAATTTTGCCTAACTTAGCACCATACTTGAAGTCACATCAACTGTATTATTAAACATCATATAAAACTTACAATAAGCTGGGAGAAACAATTGGTCTCTTTTAGTGTACTACATAAACCTATCATCACCATTTTTGTACTCTGCTCCTTAAAAGAGGAAAAACTAATACCTGAAATTTATTTAATCTTTGTTGTAGAACATTTTAAAGCTTTTTCGTGAAAGTTTAAGAGAAATAGTAAGTATACAGGTTGTTGAGTATTAGCACTTGAACATACCCATCTATTCACTACCCAGACTAAGAAATACATCATCTTAAGTAAACTAGGTGCCCTGTTAATGTCTGTTCCTAATCATTACCTCTTTCCAGATTTACTATTAGTATAGTATAGATTATTTTTTACCAGGTTTTGAACAGTATATATTCTTTGGTATCCAATTTGTTGTATAGAAAATTATGTTTTTGAGACGCTTGTGTTGTAGCATTATACAGCAGCCATAGTTCATCCTCTCATTACTGAGTAGTAGTCCCTTATTTAAATACAGTACCACCCCCCCCCAAAGTCCCTCAGGGGATATGTTTCATAACGTCCAGTAGAGGCCTAAAACTATGGATAGTACCAGATTTTAAATTACTAAATTTTTCCCCTAAGTATGAGAAAGGTTAATTTATCAATTTGAACAGTAAGACATTAACAATAGCTAATAAAATAGAATACTTCAACACACTGTAACAAAAGTAATATAGATGTACTCTGTTAGTATACTGCTTTCACCTCTCTTGTGAAGATAAAAGATTATACAGTGCCTATGTGAGGAGATAAAGTGAGGTGAATGATGTAGGCATTGAGATCTAGTATTGTGCAACTACTGCCCTGTCAATATGTCAAGAGGATCTCTGCTTTGGGTGATCCAGGTTCATCAAGCAGTGGTGATGTCAGTGATTGGATATTGGAAAGAGAAAATATCAGTGATCTCTAATCATTAAGGACATTTTTTGACAAAACTTTTGGAAGAGCATTATAATAACTTGTCTCTGTTTAGCTCATCCAAAGTGTTGACGCTGAGCTTACAGTCCTTTGATGATTGTACAGGTGACTTTTATGCTGCATTCCATCTAAGGACTATATTCCATATTTTTACCCTTTCATTTCTGTATAACATAAAACATTTGAACAAACTTCAGTAATGTCCATGCTGTTGACTCCACTTTGGTTTTTTCATCCTCCTCTTCCTCTGTAGATGAGTCAACAGGTTCTTCAATTCCTCATTTTTCATTTCTCCTCCTTTGAAAAATGTGTTTTCTCTAGCTATTCTTTTTTTTCTTTTTCTTTTTTAGAACTTGCTGTGTAGACCAGGCTGGCCTTGATCTCACAGAGATCTGCCTGCTGGAACTAAAGAGGTATACCACCACACCCGGCTTCTCTAGCAATTTTAAGGTTGCTCTATGTCTTTATGTATTGTCAGTTTTGCAGTGCTTTGCCTACGTGTGATTATGTTTGTGTTAATTCTTTTAACTATTATATCACTTGAATCCATGACTTGATTTTTTCCCCCCATCGGTTCTAGAACATTCTCAACTCTTACCTCTTAAGACACTGTGTCTCCCTGTAATTCCTGTCCTTTCCAGTACTCTGATTACAGGTATGTTAGATCTCTCACTGCATCCTCCATGTCTTTCACACTCTGTGCTTTGCTTGTGGTAGGGGAGGATGATGGCTTCATCCTGGATATTTTCCTTTTCAGTATTCTCTGTAGTCATAGATGCTATGCTGTTAAACCACCCTTTGTGTGCCTTTTCCAAGGGAAACATAAAGAAATGCCTGTTCACCCTGGACAGGGAACCAGTAGATCAAAGAAAAGATTCTAAGTCCAGCTCAGTACAACCAATGAGTTTATTAGGGTTGCTTAAAAATGCGTGGGTGACCAGGCAGCTCCATCACCAAGAAGTTCCACTCCAGCACAGGGTGATAAAGCCGCACTGCTGGAATCCCAACCCCCAGACAGCTTTCTGGCTCTTATAGTTAGCTCATGCACCCAAGACCACATGTAGCTGGGAGGCAAGAGTGGAGTGTGGCTAGACTCTCTGGTGATGGTCTGGGGACCTTCTATGAGGGAATGTTACCACCTCCCTTAACGTTACGATAGACTTAGCTGTCACTGTTTTGCATATTTCATTGCCATGACTGCTAGCCCTATGGTGTTATGCCTGATCATGGCCACTGGTCATGTCACTGAGAGGAGAGCTCTTTTGCACCACTACCTATTCAGTACTTTCTTGTTGTTGTTGTTGTTGTTGACTATTTATTTATTTATTTATTTATTTATTTATTTATTTATTTATTTGGGCATGTCAATGCATGTACGTAGGAGTCAGAGGGACAGCCTGTGAGACTTGGATCTCTCCTGCTATCACGTGAGTCCTGTGGGGATTGAACTTGGGTACTTTTACCCACTGAACCATCTTGATAACTTGACCTGAAATACTATTTCCTTACACTTTGCCTTCCATTTCTCAGTCTATTCATTATAGCCTCAAACTCACAGAGTTCCACCTGCCTCTACCTCCCAAGAGCTAGGAATAAAGGCATGCACCACCATACCTGGGTCAGTACTTATTTGTAAATACTGTATCATTCAGGTCCAGGGTTTTCATTGTTTATATATATATATATATGTATAGTTTTTTCAGTTGTCTCCTGAAATTTTCAGCCTTGTCATTTTTCACTGCAAATGATAAATGTAGTATACAGTATATCTGTTCTAGAGTTCTAGTTTCTTTTCTGTTGCTGTAACAAACACTATGACCAAAAGTAAATTAGGGAAGGAAAGAGCTTATTTCATCTTACACTCCCAGGTCATAGTCCATCATTGAGGGATGTCAAGGCAGGAACTCAAGGCAGGAATCTGAAGCAGAAACCATGGAGGAACACTGCTTGCTAGCTGACTCTCTGGTGCACTCAGTAACTCCTGCTCTGCTGGCTTTCCTATGTAGCCCATGCTCACCTGCCTGGGGGTGGTGCTACCCACAGTGGGCCGTGCCCTCCCACACTAATCGTTGATCAAGACAATCCCTCACAGACATGGCTGCAGGCCAGTGATCTAGGCAATCCCTGAATTGAGACTCCCTCAGATGTCTAGGCTATATCAAGTTGACAGCTGAAGCCAACTAGGACAGTAGTGTTTTGCATTATATGAATCCCTGAGAGGTCAGAATATTTATGGATTAATGGTCCCAATTTTGATTATATTGTCTTGGTTTATTAGGTACTAAATATTGTCTATTAAAATTACAAGCTGAGCTTGTGATGTGTGTCTTTAATCCCAGCATTTGGAAGGCTAAGGAATGAAGATTGTGAGTTTGAGGTCTACCTAGGAGACTCAGGAAAAAACTAAAGATTTACAGAGATAATCTGAGACATAGGATGAATTTGTTTGCTTCTGGCATGATTTATAGTAGTCTCAAGTCACCTTTACCTAATCAGGAATTGAGATGACTTCATGGTGCTATTCAGTCACTGTAAGAACCAATCTGTTTCCTCTTCATTCTTACGTTCCTTCTGAATTCTAGTCTCAGTGTGGGGAGAGTTACCCATGCCCTTCCCTCCAACCTTATTTGGCACATTAATTAGAAAAGCTCTGCTCAGGTTCTTGGTATGTAAATTGCTTCTTCCAGGACTGGCTAGTGGACTGTGCAGTTACCTTCTCTAGGATCTCCGCTCATAACCCTCCACTGCTGTGATAGCTGTGATGCTTCCAAGCAATCATGGGGTGGATTTTTTTTTTTTAACAGCTCTTTTGTTTCTTGGTTCATTCAAATGATCTTGATATTTCTGGAGGCAACCCTTTCCCATAATTTCTAGCACTTGCAAATATTAATCTTTAAATCTCTTACATTTTGTATAGAATTTAGCAATTTACAGAATCCTTCTGTATATATTTTCCTACTTAATAAAAGAAGTATTAATGTCCCCATTCTACAGATGAGAAACCTACCCTTAAAAGTGGGCAGAATGGGGCTGGAGAGATGGCTCAGTGGTTAAGAACACTAGTTGTTCTTGCAGAAGACCCAGGTTCAAATCTCAGCACCCACATGGCAGCTCACAACTGTCTGTAACTCTAGTTCCAGGGGATCCGACAGCCTCTTCTGTCCTCCACAGGCATTGCACAGCATAGGTGCACTTACCTATATGCAGGCATAACACTCATACACATAAAATAAAAATAATAAAATATTTTTTTAAAGTGGGCAGAAAGTTCAAGCAACTTCTCATGCTAATAATGATGATGATTCTCAAATTTAAATATTTTAATTCTCAAGTCTATTTTTCTTCTATTTTACCAGAGCTGTGAACTTTTGTGTTTAATGTTTATTGGACTAATTTTAAAAAAGATTACTAATTTATTTTTCTATTTTGCTTTGTTTAAAAATGTGTTTCAGCATGATCCTACCTTTCCTCTCATTGATTCAAGTTCCCAGAGCCAGATTAGAAAACGCATTGTACTTGAAAAATTGAGTAAAGTGTAAGTATGTAATATCATTAGGTGTTGTAAGACTTTTAAATTAATTCAGTGTTTATGAGTTTGCAGTTTATAGGTATTATGCTTAAATTTTGAACATTTTTAAAAGATAACATAAAAAGCTTACATAGCTTTCTTCACTTGAAAATTTTCCTTTTTTTTTTTTTTTTTTTGGTTTTTTTGAGATAGGGTCTCCCTGTATCCCCAACTGGCATGGAACTCACTACATAGACCAGACTGGCCTTGAACTCAGAGATCCATCTGCCTCTGCCTCCTCTGTGTGTGTGAGTATGTGTGTGTGTGTGTGTGTAGGTTCCCATGGAAGCCAGAAGAGAGCATCAGATCCTCTGAAACTGGAGGTACAGGCAGTTGTGAGCCACCTGACATATTCTGAATGAGCAAGAAGTGCTTTTAATGGCTGAGCCATCTTTCTAGCCCTGAAAATGTTCTATTTTAAGATTATATCCAAAAAAGTATTAAAATGTTTGTAGACAACACAAGAGAACATCATAAAGAAGACTGAGATTATAGGAATAGAAAAACCAAACTATCGCACTCTTAATAATCCAATGAAATCAGGAAGAAAATATCTAAGCTAGACCATGTAAGTATTAATTTGTGGTAAATGTATCATATCAACTTCATATGTTTAAGTTATTATAGAGCTTTAACAATCTGTTAGCTCACTCAGCCTACATATTAACACTCAAGAACTTGAATTTTTAGGCCAAGCATGGTGGGACACGCTTTTAATCCCAGCACTTGAGAGGCAGAGTCAGGCGGATCTCTGTGTGTTCAAGGCCAGCCTGGTCTATATAGTGAGTTCCAAGCCAGCTGAGGCTACATGGAGACCCTGTGTCTCAAAACCAAAAAAAAAAAAAAAAAAAGAACTTGAATTTTTGTTCAGTTCAATTTTGCACTTTGGCTTTGAGCTTCCTGTGGTAGAAAGGGTTGTTCTTGTAATTAGCCCAATCACAAATAGCACTTTAAAATTGCTATTCTGGTTTCTCTGTTTAAAAAAAAAAAAAAAAAAAGCACTTTGCAAATCTTTTTTCCAGAGGTATAAGGTCTACCTTGAATTTCTACTTGCATTTCCTTTTTCTAGGAAAAAAACATGACAGTATGTCAGTCACTATTTATAGAGTTGTAAATACAGAGAAGTCTTAGTTTTGGAGCATTTTGAGAACAGGAAAAACATTGTCTAGAAGCCATAATATTGTGAGTAGCTAAAATCTAAAACGTTACTAGTGACAGAATGGGAGGTATAACAATTTAAAAGTACATATTTCTAAGCCACAATTGAGATCCTTTTTCGATTGGCATTTTACCTTGATTTAGTCCTAAAATCAGGAGGAATTTCTCTAATTTTTACATTTTGAATAAATGTTTAAATTAACATTTATTGGGTATATGTTATATGTCAGGCTCTGCATATGTATCTTTAATTTTACTTTTCCTGTATGCATTTATGTGTATGTGCGGAAGTATGTATATTGGTATGTGTGCAGGTGCATGTATGCTTGGCCATGGAGGCCAGAGATCAACCTCAGTTGTTTCTTGGGAGCTATCTACCTTGTTTCTTGAGCCAGGGTCTCTCATTGGGATCTAGGACTTGCCAGTTAGGCTAGGCTGGCTAGTCAGAGAGCCCCAAAGATCCCTATTCCTCCTCACCAGCTTTTTTATGTAGGTTCTGGGATTGAGTTCAGGTCCTTGTGTTGGCATGGCAAGCACATTACTCACTGAGCCATCTCTCTAGCCCTGTTATTTTACCTCATCTTTATACTTGTACACTGTATTTGTGAAATCTAGTGTAGAAAACAACATAAGTCATCACCTATCTGATTCATAGTACAAGAAGATATCAAACTTGACTTCAGTGCTGTAGGTTTTGAATGTTGGGATGGATTATCCATACAAGTATGGAGTTAAAAGACAGGGATTTAGGTGGAAATAGTTTCCTAGATTTTTTTTTTTAACCTAAGGAAAATATCCAGTTTTAAATTTGAGACCATACAGACTTATCACTAATGTAAATCTGCCCCTTTTGAGTTTTGGCAGGAACAGAAGACCCAAGGGTCCTTGGGGGAGGACCATGGTGTTGATACTAGAACAAGAACTGAATTCAAGAAAGGATGGAATAGCTTAAAGAAAAACAGAAAGAGGTGTGAAAACAGAACAATTGCAGTGGTATGGAGGTTTTGTTATTGCTGATTTGCTTATGAAAGCAATTGGGCCTTTTCTCCTTATAAAAGTAAAATCTAGACTGGAAGTACAGCTCAGTGATAGAGTGCTTGCCTGGCATGATTCTAAGAACTGCAAACAAAAAAAATTTTTTAACGATTAAGACAGAGCTGGAGAGAAGGCTCAGTGGTTAAGAGTACTGACTGCTCTTGCAGAGGACCAGGGTTTGGTTCCCAGCAGCTTCATGGCCGCTAAGTTCCAAGGGATCTGATGCCTTCTTCTTGGCACCAAAAGGTCATTGCATGACACAGGTGCACTTAGATACATGCAAGCAAAACACTCATACAATAAAATTTAAAAATAAATTTTGAAAAGTAAGACTCTTTGGTATGAGTTGATCAATCCAATTTAAACAGACATTGACTTATTTCTTTGACAATTTCATACATATATGTAACGCATTCTCAGTACTCTCCCAGACACACACCCTCTGTTATCTACCTCCTGTTTCTATCAACCCCTCCCACCTGTCCCTTTCCCAGGGCTCTGGGAACATTGTAGAAGAGAGGGCAGAAAGGTTGCAAGAGATGGGAAATTGGGAAAGGGACTTTGAAATGCCATCTTCTGGGCAGACTTTTTTTTTACATTAGAAGATGATAAATGGTTAGAGATGATAATATTGTGGTTGTATAAGAAAATACCTTGGGGAGCTGGAGAGATGGCTCAGCAGTTAAGAGCACTGGCCATTCTTACACATAATCTGGGTTTGGTTCCCAGCACCCACATGGAAGCTAGCAACCATCCATCCATAACTCCAGTTCCAGGGGATCTGACGCCTCTTCTGACTTCCATGGGCACTTCATGACAAGGGTGCACTTACATACGTGCAGGCAAAATACTCACACATTAAAAAAGAAGAAGAAAGAAAGAAAATGCCTTTGCCAGACATGGTAGTATATATTTTTAATCCTAGCACTTAGGAGGCAGAGACAGGTAGATCTCTATGATTTCCAAACTTGGTCTTCATAGTGACTTCCAGGCCATAAAGTAAATAAACAGATATCATTGTCTTTAGGGAGATAAATGAAAATAAGGATCAAATGACACAATGTCAGGAATTTGTTGCAAAGTGCTCCTGGAGGAAAAAAGGAAGGATGGAAAAATGAGCAAATATAGCAAAATACTGAAAGATTGACTCTGAGCCAGGTGTGCTGGCAGATGCCTCTGATCTCAGCATTTGAAAAGTGAAAGCAGAAGGATCAGGAATTCAGTCATCAAGGCCAGCCTAGACTTCCTCTCTGACATACATATGTTATATATGTTGTATATTTATTCATTCCCTTTGATTTCCTGTTATAAGGGGAAGAAGAACTAGAAGGAATGAAATATGTCTCATACATTATATGCAATGTGTATTTTTATTTAAAATGTGTTTTAACACTACATACGCATTTTTTACCTAATGTCTACCCTTTTACATGTTAAAAAATGGATTAGTATTTTTAAGGTGTTTTTTTTTAAATTTTTTTATGTGTATACGTGTATTGCCTGCATGTAGGTAAGTGCACGCGTGTCATGCAATGCCTGTGGAGGTCAGAAGAGGCTGTTGGATCCCCTGGGAATGGAGTTACAGACAATTGTTAGTTGCCATATGGGTGCTGGGATTCGAACCCGGGTCTTCTGCAAGAACAACCAAGGTTCTTAACCACTGAGCCATCTTGCCAGCCCCATTTTTAAGGTTTTTATTATGAGTATTAAATGTGTATGTCATATAAATCACTGATGTTTATCTCCAAGTTCTCACTGAAATGTTTCTACAAGTATCTTTATGTTTGCTGGAATAATGTTTATCTTATTTCATAGAATAAAGTTTTTTTATAGTAAATTGTATGGTCAAGGATAGTAACAGAAATTGTTAAATTGCTTTCAGGTAGGAAAAGCTTGGGACAGAATACAGACAGTGTCAGAATGGTTTTGCATTGTATTACTTTATGGTTTTGTCACTCAGACTGCAAAGCAGAGTGTGGAGTTGCTGTGAAACCTCACTTCTCACCAGTCAGAATCTAGCTTAACTTTTGGAGAGAACCCAAAGTAAGCATGCCCACCAAAATGTTTCCATATAATAATTAAGTTCTATTTTAAAATATAAATTTATTCTTTTCAGATTGCCTGGGCTTTTGGGTCCTCTTCAGATTACAGTAGGAGATATTTATGCTGAACTTAAAAATCTTGTTCGAACTTTCAGGTTAGTGTTAATGTTATGATTTTTTTTCTCTGTTATTTTGATCTCACTGATTTTCTTGCAGAATCCATGGAGACTAAGACATAAAGTAAGTTATTTACCTTCATGGTCTTACATATGAACTCAGTGGTATTTCCTTCTCTAAATATTACTCGTCTTCTCTTGAATACGACTGCTTACTGGCTTAAATTTTGGCATATTTTACTTTGGAAAGCTTCTTAGAGAGTAGACTGAACTTAGGAGGGAAAATTACAGGCTGGAGAGATGGCTCAGTCAATAAAGTATTTGCCTTGTGAGCATTGACATGAGTTCAGTCCCCAAAATGCATATTTTTTTTAAAAAAGTTCTAATCAAAGCCTATTTTCTCCAGTAATTATTTTTTCCCTAGAATTTCCTACATCTTGGGGCTGGAGAGATGGCTCAGTGGTTAAGAGCACTGGCTGCTCTTGCAGAGGACCCGGGTTCAGTTCCCAGCATCCACATGGTGGTTAACAACCATCTGTAACTCCAGTTTCAGAGGAATCTGATGCTCTCTTCTGACCTCTACAGACATTACATGACATGGATGAACTTACATACATGCAGTCAATACCCTCATACACCTAAAATAAAGATAAAAATAATAAAATAAAAGCTTGCACCACCATGCTCAGCAAAACTTCTTATGGCACCTAAGGTAGCCAGGAAAAGAGGCACATTGTCCTTCAGTCCTCTAAGAAATAACTAACAGATTGCAGATACATGGAGACTTCCAAATGTCCTCTTTAATTTATAAACTATTATTTTGTCACCTTTTTTTCTGTCATTCATATTTTATAACCAAAGTCCCTTCCAATTACTCTTTTTTTATTATTTTTAATAAATTAAAGACTAGATGAAATGATGCTATTGATTTCAAAGCTATCCAGATTAGTAGGGATGCTGGTGAGTATGGGACTGTGTAGATAAAACATTGGCCAGGAATTGACAGATGAGGGGCTGGAGAGATGGCTGCATGGTTAAGAGCACTTGCTGCTCTTGCAGGGGACCTGAGTTCAGTTCCCAGCACCCACATGGCAACTAACAACCATCCTTCCTTTCCTACTCCAGCTCCAGGGGATCCAATGCTCTCTTCTGACATTCATGGGCATTGCCCAACATGTGTATACTTACATATATGTAGGCAAAACACTCATACACATAAGATAAAAATAAATTTTTTAAAATTAAAAATGAGACTATGAGGTTATTTTATATTCTGCCTACATATATATGTACATATATACATATATATGTGAAATTTAATAAAGCATCTGTAAAAAACAAGCCAAAAAATAAACATTACTTGGAAGGAGGGCATTACAGGATTCTGTTCCCGAGACAGAATTTGATATTGACCAAGTTATTTTTACAAGTCTTTAATACCTGTGACTCAAAGTCTGTATCTTTAATAAAAATCACTTAAATTGGCTTTTCTATATTTTAGAAAATGTCAGTTGTTTCCTGTACAGAATGACCTTCAGTAAGATAACTGATTTGGAGTCTTCAGATTCTGACAGGGCACTCTGACTTTGTAAGCTAGGGTTTACTATGGGGGAAAAAAAGCCATATTGCTGACAGTGACTAGTGTCACAAAATCTTTTCAGTCAATACAAACAGTGGGAAAGAGTTGACATAAATAACTGTAACCTCTTTGAAATGATAATAATAACTTGTAGAACAGTGATTCTCAAGCCATTTAACAACCTCATTTATATGGCTCCACTCCTGGAGGTTGGGGTTCCTTTGATTAGGCTGTGCTCTGACATCATCAGTCTTGCTTAAAAGTCCCCTAGGTGATTCTAATGTGCAGCCCAGTTGAGAGCCTGTTTTAAGGTCTTTGAAGAATCTTTCCCCAGTGAATAGAGAGCTGCCCTTTCCACTGAGTAGCACCACAGTCTGTTATCCAGAATGGTGTGTTTAGTTACCTGTTGTAGTTCAGAACAAGTTCTTTTGCAGCTGCTTGGTAATTACTCGTCGGTATTTGAATCAGGATATTTCTCTAAAGCAGACTTGAATTATATTTTTGCATAAAAATCCTCTTTAAATTGCATCTATGATAAATCAAAATATTTTCTCTAAATCTATATGAATTTCAAATTACTGTTTCGAAAGTATGCTTTTTAAATGATTTCTAACAAATACTATATTTGCTTTTGAATTATTAGTTAGACAATAGTAAGTATGTTCATTTAGCATCTGTGTTAGAAATTAATTTGGCACAAAGAAAATGAAAGTAAGACATTGCTGTTCTGCTAATATAATATAAGTACTTAGAAATAAAAGTAAAACCTTTTATATACCCCAGTACCTGGGATGGTGGTGTAGATTATGCAGTCAAAACATTTTTGTGCTGAATGACCAAATGAACTCATAAAATCTTAAATCTGTGTCAACTCTGAGAGATTTGTGTACAGTTTTTAAAAATCCAGAACTATTCCATTGGTTTTGATCTTTTTTTCCTTCCACGCTTCTCCTTTTGAAGCTCTTTTTGGTTATGTGCAGGTGCTGTTTACTACAGACAAAACAGCGAATGAAATAGTGACAAGTTCCTTCTCTCATGGCACTTACATGTAGAGAGGCTATAAGTATTTTTAGTGTTATCTATTATTCTGTGGTGATAATAGTCTTTTCTCTTTCCCAATACACTCTCCTCCCTTTCTTCCAAGAAGCGAGGAAGTGGGATGGTATTGAAGGAATGAGAATGCTGCAGTTTTAGGTAGGCTGGTAGCAAGACCTTGGTGAGAAGATGCACTTCAACAAAGGTTTAATAAGAAGTAAGGGAGCAAACTGTTATTCCGTAAAAATGTTTGAGACGGAAGGAACAACTGATTGGAGAAAAAAAAAAACAAAAAAAAAAACCTTGAAAACAGGGCCAAGATGATTCAGCAGGTAAAGGCACTTGCTATGCAAGCCTGTTGACCTGAATCCAATCCCTGGAACCTACATAAAGGTGGAAGGAGAAAACTGACTCCACAAAGTTGTCCTCTGACCTCCACACCTGTCTCTGGCACATACATGGTTGTACTCATACACATCATAGACACTAATAATAAATAATAATTAGGATGCTGATAAGCCTAGAAAATTGAGCAAAGACAAGAGTAGAAAAATATATGCTCAAGAATTATGGAACTGGGGTTGGGAGTAGTAAAATCTACACCTATGGGAACATGAACTAGAGGGAGAGTGTGTTTTGAAATGCCTCAGATCTCCCAAGTAGAGATATCAAAAGAAGCTGGACTTCAAAGAAGAGAATTGAACTAGAGGTAGAAAATTTGAAGATGTCAGCACATAGTTATCTTAGTGCTAGGAGAGTGGATAAAATCACCAAGGGGAAACCAAAAAAATAATAAGAATCAGGCATGGTTACACATCCTTTTAATCCCAGCACTTAGGAGGCAGAGACAGGTGGATCTCTGTGAGAAAGAGGCCAGCTTGGTCTACATAGTGAGTTCCAGGTTAGCTGGGGCTACAGGGAAACCCTGTCTCAAAAAAACAAACCAAAAAAATCACTAAGGGGAAGAGTGATTACAAAGGAGAGAAGAGGCAGAGGGCCAAAGTCTCCAGTAATGAAAGGTCCAAGAAAGAGGTCCACCAGCTCCAAAAAAAGGAGAAAACAGTAGAAATCTGGTAGAAATGTTCCATGGAGAAGGGAATGTTTGTCTGTGTCAGATCTGCTGGTAGATGAAGGGAGGGCAGATTTGGCAACTTGGGTGCCTTTTATACATTTACTCCTCACAACAACTCTGTGAGGATAGGTAATATTATTGACCTTATTTTACCAGATTTTTGAATTTAAGATTTATTTTTATTATTTTTAATTATATGTCTGTATGAGGATATATGCACCTGGTGCAGATGCCCACAAAGGCCAGAGGCATTGGATCCTCTGAAAGAGCAGTATGCATTCTTAACTGCTGAACTATCTCTCCAGTACCATAAAGTTTTATATTACAAAGAATATATCCAAGACAAAACAGTATTAAGTGACAGATCTGGGCTTAATATCAAGATCTGTTAGACTGTTATACTGTGCTCCTTTTTATATCAAGACTTTCCTTCTTTTTTTGTCTTTTTTTTGAGACAGGGTCTTGTAGCCCCAGCTGTCCTGGAACTCACTATGTAGACCAGGCTGGCCTCGAACTCACAAAGATTCGCCTGCCTCTGCCTCCCAAGTGCTAGATTAAAGGCATGCACCACCACACCCGGCTAGACTTTCAAATTTTTAAAAAATATTTTATTATTTTTATTTTATGTGTATGAGTGTATTGCCTACATGTAAGTTCACCCATGTCATGCAATGCCGTAGAGGTCAGAAGAAGGCATCAGATAACCTGGAACTGGAGCTATGGATGGTTGTTAGCTGCTATGTGGGTGCTCGGAATCAAACCCAAAAGAGCAGCCAGTGCTCTTACCTGCTGAGCTCTCTCTCCAGCAGCAGCAACCACATTATTCTGCTGACTCTTCCCTACGAAATATAACAGGTACTTATAAAGTACTTCTTCAACACAATAACATAATTCTTATCCAGAGCTATAATATAAAGTAATATAAAAATCCTTGGGTAAATTTAATTTTGTTATCTTTCAGATTAACAAATAGAAATATTATACACAAACCTGTGGAATGGACTTTAATTGCTATGGTGTTGCTGTCATTGTAAGTATTCTTTCAGATTTTATCTCTAAAGAATTTTGATTTGGGAAAAGCAGTTAAAGATTTTGTAAATCTTGAGCTTCATTAGTCTGTATTTTATATAACTAATATTTTTGACATAGTTTAAAAGTATAGGGAAATTTTTCCTAACTGCGTTTTAAAATTTAACAGATTGAAAGGACCTGTAGTAAATGCTTACTGCACAAATATTATAAAACACTTAGTACTCATTCACCTTTTAAGAAATCAGTGTTGGTTTCAAGGCTACTTTTTCAGAAGGGTTAAAGTCATTTAATAAGTGTAGTGTTTTTCAGCTTGAATTACAGAACTCTTTTGAGGATCTTTCATTACTGTGTTATTGTTGCTGCTTGGTGTGTGTTGGGTCACTGAAGCCCATAGGATATTGAAAACTTATCGGACACTCACAGGTCAAGCAGGGTGATAAGTCAGCCTCATGGCACCTCCAGTCCTGTTTCTCTTTCTTTGATATTCGATCTGACATGTTATTCTGGCTTCCCTGTTCCAAAGAACGCTATGCAGGAAGGATTAGCATAGGCTTCAGTGAGCCAGATCTGTGTCACTCAACCAGATACGATGCACATGATTCATTAAATCAGAACAGAAAGTAACTTTACTTGAATGCTCTGCTGTAAATTTATCAACCCTAAGAACAAATCTTTTGTCATTTCTACGATTCAGTGTTCAGTTGAATTGGCCGTTTGTGAAACAGATCTTAGGAATTTTTTAGAAAGGTCTATCTTATGAACTGTATAAATATTTTGGTCATTGACAAAATATCAGTAACTCTTCTTATCCACAGTACATGTGTGTACTAATAAACCCTCACAGACAACTGTTTAACTATACTTCTATGACTTATGCTACTAAGGGGGAGTAGTATTGTGGATTGACATGTTAGAGCCATGGACTCTGCAGTAATCTTAGAATCTTGCTTCTTTGAAGTATTATCTTCATAGACAGCTACTTACTGAGGACATATTACACCCTGCATTTTTTCCTGTTAAACTATTGCCACATCTCTAAAATGTCTAGCAAGGAATAAAAAGAAGTATGAAATAATAAAAGCTATCATTAAAATTCATATGATTATTCCATATGAAAACAAAACTCTTGGATTGGTGAGATGGCTTAGTCAGTAAAGTGTCTACTAAGCAGGCATGAGTTCAGATCCCCAGTACCCATATAAGCTAGGTGTGGCATTGTGCCTTTGATGTTCCAGCATGGGCATGGGAAGATAGACAGGCAGATCCCTGAGGCTCATTGATGAGCTATCCTACCCCAATTGATGAGTTCCAGGTTCAGCGAGAGGCTATACAAGTATGCACACATGTTCAAAGCACAGACATGCACGCATATTCAAAGCACAAACATACACAAACATATACACACAGAGTAAGACTTAAACCTCCCCCCAAAATTAAAACAAACAGAACTCTGTGTTTGATTTTAACAGTGGCACCATGTGTCACAAAATACTGAAACCTTAGCTAGTACTTTTATGCACCATGACTTCTCTAACTTTGCATGTAATAATGAGAGAAGTTTTTCTTAAGAGTCAGTGATCCGTTAGAAAATCATAACTTAATTGGGTTCAGTTTGACATTTCATGTGCACTGCATGTTTCTCATGTGCAGTCTTAAAGTTGTCACAATAGATACTGTTTCTTGTCATCCATTGATCTTCTTGTGCCCTGACCCCTAAAGCTGGACCTAACTTCCTACCCAGTAGTCATTGATCTTTTTGATCCCTAGACAACTTAGATCATTTCTAGATTAAGTCCCTTTGGCTTCTTTTAAAGTCTTTGGTCACTATAGATGCCACAGCCCACCTTAGCAGTTCCTGTCTATTCTGTATGTTTGGATTCCAGGTGAAGCTTCTTCCGTCATCAGCAAAGAAGGCTTCTGTCTCTTCCATATGTTTTTTCTTCTTTCTGCAGAAAGTCTCCTTTAGCTTTTCATATTAACCCCCACAGAACTTGTGATAGCCCCTTTGTTTTTTTTATCACACTTTTAAAATAAATACCACTATACATGTTAGTGTATAGTTTAAATATGTCTCATGCTAAAACTAATCTCACTTTATAAACTAGAATTATATTTGATATTTCCATCCCACTTTCTTTCCACATACAGTTCAAATGCTTTTTAAAGAAGATAGCATTGCCATTGAGGAAAGAAAAAGCAGACATGAGAGCTAGGATTGGATCAAGAGTCTTACAGTGGAAAATACAGAGACCTCAGACACCCAGAGACATAGAGGAAAGGGGAACCACACACATTTGTGGAGCACTAGCTTTCCTTTCTAGTGTTTTAGCTTATTGCCACTAAACAGTCTAGGCACACAAGAGTCTCTTCCTCTCTCTCTTCAGAAAACCTTCACATCTATTTTCAAATTTCCAATTCTGGTTACTCATAGCTTGTAGGCATTTACAGAATTCATATTTAAAAGCAAATGTCTCGTAAGTCTGCATAGCTAAGCAAAGATTCTGAATGGCAGTTGTCACTGAAGAACAAAATATAAGATAGTATGTCAGGCTGGCAAAGTGGCTCAGCGGTAGAGGCACTTGGGTACAACCTGACAACCTGAATTAGATTCCCGGATCCCACAAGATGGCAGGAGAGAACTGAGTCCTGAGAGTTGTCCTCTGACCCCCACTTGCATGTTGTAGCTGCATACACCTGCACTCATGTACACAAAATAAAACTTTAAAAAGACAGTATGTTCAATTATATAATAAGATGTTTATGAGTCTGTGTAATAAGTACTTTTATAACAATATTTTATTGTTCTTTGGATATGAATATTAACACATTACTAGCATTCATTCAATACATGAAAGAAAGCTCTTTTCAAAATTCTCCATAGAAATCACCCAGGAAAGGAGGGGGGAGGGAAGGAGGGAGGGAGGGAGGGAGGGAGGGAGGGAGAGAGAGAGAGAGAGAGAGAGAGAGAGAGAGATAGAGAGAGAGATAGAATGAGCATTTGTATGTACATATATTAGTACATATATATATATAATTATGTTAGTATGTTGCTGCTGGAGTCTTGTTAGAAGTTGAGGGGGTAGGGGCTAGGGAAGAGGGATCAGTGGTTAGGAGCACTGACTGCTCTTGCAAAGGACCCGGGTTTGGTTCCCAGCACCCAACAACCATCTGTAAGTGCAGTTCCAGGAGATCTGATGCCCTTTCTAGCCTCCTCAGGCATTGCACGACATGAGTGCACTTACATACATGCAGGCAAAACACTCATATACACAAAATATAAATAAATAAATAAAATTATTTTTAAAAAAGAAGAAGCTGGGGGGCATCAACCTTGTTACTAAAAATGCTGGTCAAGAGCAACAGAAATGCCAGATCTTAAATTTTCATGTTAGTATTCCAAAGAGTAAGATACTTCTGTAGAAAATGATCTTTTCCTGGTGACTTCCTTTGTACTTTCATGGACGCAGTAACACTAAGGAAAATTTTGGACCATGCATTTAATATGTTAATGTAAAGTGATTTGATTTTTATATGAACATAATCTCAGGAAGAAATCTGATCAAATTAGATTGGCACAGTTGATCATCAAACACTCAGCGAGACACTTGTTTATATGAAAGTACATCATGGCTCATTCTCATTTTAGAGTTCTTACTAATTAATTCTAGGAGACTTAAATGGCTATTTGGTTGCAACATTTTTTAATTTTATATTTTCAGGCTCTAACTAGTTGCCAAGAGCATGTTAACCTTAAAGCAGAGTTGAAGCAGTATACAATTATTTTACAAGAAAGGAATTAGCATCTCTTTAGTCTTCCCATTTTTACTTGATAAATGTTAAGATTTTCAAGAACTGATTACTTGTAGAAAAAAATCTATAATAGTGATAATTGATTGACCCATTTTTCTAAGAACTGATTTAAAATGCAGTAATCAAGTAATTGTGGTGGTTTATTGCCTAAGCCCTTAGTAATAATTTTGTGTAATTGAACCTTACAAATTTTATCCTTACATCAGATTCTGCCCTGAAAAGATCTGTGAGTTGAAATAACACAAGCTTGAATCTGATTTTCCCAAATAAATTTGTTCTACTAAGGCATCAGGCTTTCTGGACAGTCCTTGATGCATCACTTGCAATGAAAATGTATATAACTACGTATAAGTTATCATCTGCGTTTTAGAACCTATATATTCTACCATATAAAACATGTTAACCTTTTTTGTGTATTTTAAAATATTTCTTTACCAAATTAGAAAACACTAACAAACTACATCAAAGTGCATCCATGATGCCATATCACATTTACTGTGTCATACTTTCCTTTCCCTATTCGTCATAATCCCCTTCTTGCCAACAGAGGAATGGGAATGGAGAGTCCCCTTTTAGCATGGTCACAGTATTTGGAGTAGTTTCTTTGAGAAGATACTTACACCCATAGGACACCTCCCTCAGCTCTGTCCCATCCCTCCTTTCCGTCATCCTTTTTGCCTTAGTCTTCCTCTGTCTTCTTGGACGTTTGTCATTGTGTTTTAACTTATCACACAAGGTAGGACTGTGCCGATGCTGGTGAGAAATCTAAGGAAGAAATCAAAGCTGGCAGCCAAAGAGAAGACATCGGAAAGCAGATTAACTGGCCATTCCGTATGTGCAATTCATGCCAAAATGATGATCAGGTTTCTTCAAGAGTGCTTATACTGAAAACTTAACTTTTAACCCATGTTTAATCTAGAGCTTTCATGCGTAGGTCACTCATTTGTATTCTGGTGGTCTATAGTTAATTGTAGAAATCAAATGTCTTGTAATGGGTGACCAGGGAGGGAGATGTATGCCATGCTCTGTGGGAATTATTTGGCTGAGAATGAAGGAGGTGAATACTTACTTGTACGACTCAGAGACCATGAAGGGGAAAGTGGCCTATACTGGTCTAACATGGATACATGCTCTAGCTACTTTGATGCCCTTGATGTTTTCTAATGGAAAGCTTTCAAAGCCATCTCC